CATCCCAGGTGTGTGCCCTTATTTCGATGATGTCCTCATAGTTGGGGAGTCAGTAGAAATATTGGCAGAGTGGCTCAAAGCTGTCCTTCAGCGTTTCTGCGAAGCGCGGCTGAAGCTTAAGAGGGACAAATGCCAAATAGGTGTGGACTCAACAGAGTTCCTCATTTTTCGCATAGATACTGCAAGCATTCACCCCGCTGAATCTAAGCTCCAAGCTATTCAGCAGGCTCCTAGACCAAAGTCAAAGGGGGAGCTACAGGCATTTTTGGGGTTACTCACTTTCTACCATGCATTCCTGTCTCATAAGGCAGCATTGGCAGAGCCCTTACACAGGCTTTTGGACAAGAAGGCCCCTTGGCAGTAGACGAGTGCCCACGACAACAGTTTCAAGGCAGTCAAATTACTGTTGTCTTCACATTCCGTGCTTGCACATTTTAATGAAAAGCTGCCTATCAGCATTGCATGTGATGCATCTCCGTATGGAATAGGAGCCATGTTGAGCCATTTAATGGCCAATGGGAGGCAAGCTCCCATAGCTTATTATTCAAGGACACTATCACCGGCAGAACGCAACTACACCCAAATAGATAAAGAGGCGCTGGCCATCAAAAAATTTCATGATTTCCTTTATGGTCGCCCATTCACAATCTTCACCGACCATAAGCCACTACTTGGTCTGTTCATGACAGACAAATAAACTCCTCAGATCCTATCTCCATGGATGCTGAGATGGTCCAACTTTCTTGCCACTTATAGTTACAGTCTAATTCACAAACCGGGCAGGGAAATGGGTCACACTGACGCGCTCAGCAGACTGCCCCTGCCAAACTCAGAGCCAGACCCCGCACCTGCTGCATGCATCCTGGCAATCCAGGAATTGCCAGAGTCTCCCCTTCACACTGGGGATATGGCTGCTGAGACAGCCTCTGACAAAACGCTCAGTTGCGTTTTGAACTGGATGCTCAGAGGGTAGCCAGAAGCTAATCTGGTGGCAGGCTTTCACAGTTTCAGTAGAAGGAAGGATGATCTGTCAGCTCACAAAGGCTGCATTCTTTGGGGAAGTCGGGTCATAGTTCCAAACTCCTTGAGGACTAGGGTCTTAGAATCTCTGCATGAGGGACATCCTGGGATAGTCAGGATGAAGGCACCCGTGAGAAACTACCTGTGATGGCCAGGGTTGGATAAGGATATTGAGGTCCGAGTACAAAGTTGCCACATTTGCCAGCAATCCAGACCTGAAATGCCTCAAGCCCCAGTACATCGCTCGGAAACCAGGCAAACCGCATGGTCCAGAATCCACATAGACTTTGTGGGACCATTCCAGGGACAACTGTTCCTCATTGTCATGGACAGTCACTCTAAGTGGTTAGAGGTCGCACCTGTCCCTACTATGACTACTGCCAGGACCATCCAGGAACTGCGCAGAATCTTTGTCATACACGGGTTATCTGACATAATTGTTTCTGACAACGAGGCTAAATTTACCACTGAGGAATTTCAGTCCTTTTTGAGGGCTAACATGATCAGGCATGCCACTTCAGCTCTCTTTCACCTGGCTTCGAATGGCCAAGCGGAACGCATGGTTCGAACGACCAAAGAGTCGTTAAAGAGAATTGTGACCGGTGATTGGCAGCATCGGCTGGCAGACTTTTTACTTTGCCAATGCACAACACCCTGCACTTCTACAGGCAGAAACCCAGCAGAACTCAGATGGGGATGGTGTTTAACCACCAAGTTGGACCGTCTGCATCCAGACCGAGTTGCCTCAGACACAGCACAGCCAAAGCCCCCTCGGAACTTGCAAGTAGGTGACCAGGTTTGGGCACGAAATTATGGTCAAGGGGCACCATGGGTGGTAGCTGTGGTTTGTAAGGTGTCAGGACCACTCTCTTACGAAGTGGTCCTGGAAGACGATCGAGTGCTATGCCGGCACATCAACCAATTGTGCCGGAGGCTAGCGAACTAGTCGCTGGCTCACAACATGGTTGAGAGCCAAAACCAGGACCAGCACGACAACAGCCTTGCATCAGAGTCTCAAAGTACTGGCGAGACTCCCAGTGGAATGGACGGTGTAATAGTGGGAAGCGAGTCACCCCTGAGTGCAGAGACTGCACCCACTGAGCGAAACCAGCAGACGGCCTCGACTTCCAGCTCAGCAGAACTGTTCCACCAATGGACATTGGCGCAGGTCTACTCAGCCAGACCAGCCAAAAGGACACGGGTCTACCCATAGTGAACGGGTCTCAGAGTCCCGGTCCATCCAGCCAGGCAAGGGAGCCGGTAGACTGGGAACCTCCTGCAGTTCCGAGACATTTGGAACAGTCGCAGAAGCCACCAAAGTATTTGCAGGACTATGTTCAATACTTGAAATTGTGAACTATCTAAGGGGAAGGGGTGTTATGTATTGATGTAAATTACTTGGAATCAGTTATAAATAAGTAACTGCTGTGTCCATTTAAACTCCAGACTGCCTGTCTGCAGAATTGTAAGTTTGTGTTTTGGGCGGGAATAACTGCTTTAATTCCATTGGCCGCCGCCTATCGGCGGTTCGTATAAATAGAAGTTAAGTGGCTGTTAGAGCTGCTTCTGTGTTAACCAATAAACGTGTTGTTATTTTCACCTTTGCTTCATCAATGCCTCAAAGATCCCAGTACATAATAAAGGCAATGATGCTTGCTTCTCGTTCTGGCATTTCATGTTAGCAGAAAATAATCTCTTTGCCCCTGAAATTTTGCACAGTAAAATCAGCAGTGAGCAATTCCATAAGTCTGTAAATACTGTATTTTTTTGTACTTTTGCTATTTTTAATAAAATGACTAAAACTTCCTGAAGTTATATTAAACCACAGACACCCATAAACCCAAATATAATATAGGCCTTGTCTTTTCACTCTAAAACAGAAAAAACTAAATAAAAGTAGAACAACATAACCCAAGAAGCTAGTATCCTTTCCTTAGGAAGTTAAATAGCAACCCTTGGAAGTAACTTTCAGTGAACATGAGAGTTTAAACATATACACATCCATAGCTACTACACTATTCCCTTCCAAGGTAAGCAGTTTTATGTAGTAGAAAAGGAAATAAAAAGTAGGAAGACTTACTTTAATACAATTCACTATATGTCTTCTGAACTCTCTTTTCCAGGATCTCATCAACTTCATTCAACCACAACTTTCCTGATCTTCCATTCCTCTGAATTCTTTCACTCTTCTTACATGTATTTGTTTTGCAACTCTATCATACCTTAATATTTATCATGTCTCCTCTTTAGGAAACATTTCTCCAAGATATGTGAAAAATGTATCATTTACCACAGGCAGAACCTATAAACATTATGGTAAATATCGTTCGTTCGTTCATTCATTCAAATTCTGTAGCTAATATGTATATATATCCATACTCCCAACCAACACATTTCTAATATTACAAGCATCCCTTACATATTAGTCCACAAATGCATTAAAAAACCAATGTATCTAAATGTTAAATGCATTGAACAACCAAGAAATTGTTTATCTTACACCTTGATCAATAGTGAAATATTCACATTGCTTTCTTATATATATTTCAGTGATTGCATTTTGCAACCTGTCTTCAACTCCATATTCATACAAAAAGTTTCATAATTCAAGCCTATTCACTTTATAACATATTTTCTTTAAACCTATAAAATATGCAGGTAAATCCTCTTTCACATTCATGTATTTCTTATATTAACAGCATTTGTCCAGTTGCTAGGAATCAGACAAGTTACACAGCCACTCCATAAACAAACCATATCCACATTTTAGCATTTCTAATAATAATAATAATAGAGTTGGAAGGGACTTTGGAGGTCTTCTAATCCAACCCCCTGCTCAGACAGGAAACCCTATACCTAGTGGTGGGATTTAAATATGTGAACAACTGGTTCTCTGTGTGGTTGCCACTTCTGGAAGTCCATTCTGGCCTGGGCAACAAAAAATTAACTACCAGTTCTGCTGAACCGGGGCAAACTGGCTGAATCCCACCACTGCCTATACCATTTCAGACAAATGTTTGTTCAGTCTCTTCTTAAAAACTTCCAGTGTTGGAGTATTCACAACTTCTGGAGGCAGTTTGTTCCACTGATTAATTGTTCTGTCAGGAAATTTCTCCTTAGTTCTAGGTTGCTTCTCTCTTTGATTCTCCAGTTGTACTATATACATTTTTATTTTTACCTTTTTTCCCCTAGAAAACTGATGTGCCAAGAAGTATGGACATGCTATTTTATTTTTACTGGCTGCATTTTAGTAGAAAATCCCACAAAATAAGTTGTGCACATGTCACAATGCAATATTTTGTTGTGGAAAACTATTCTCATGAAAATCTGATTCAACTCTGATTTGATTTTCTTTTCCTCAGCAGAGAATAATCCATAAAATATATGAAGAACTTAAAAGTATAACTAATTGCAATCAAAATCAAAATGTAACTGTATTTTATCATATACACAATTACACCAATGATGTTTTATAATGTTTTATTTATATATAGATGCATTTCCTTAATGTATTATGATTCATTCAGTGCCCATTGTTCATTGATAATTTCTTCTCAACAAATTTAAGATTTTTGAAAAAAATATGAATAGTGTACAACTGCTAATGGATCAATTCTGTACCTGAAGAAAAATGAAATCATTTCATGTATGATGTAAAGGATACCAATGGTTCAAAGGTCTTTTATATTGTTTTGTTTTTTATAGTGTTATATTATTCTTCATAATTATTTTGTATTGGAGCAATATGTGCGAATTACATTTCCTAAACACTGAAAATACTTACAAAATGCACATCATTTGATCATCTTCTGAATACTGTTCAAACTCTCCAACTTGTTCAGGAAGACTAATTGAATATTTCAAAATATAAGTTGCTTTGCTGTTCTACAGTAATACTAAATATACATATTTTTTTTCTCTAACAATTTTTTTATACTATAGAGGATTTAAAGTTCATGAACATTTTGGTTAAAACTTACCAGATCGTCCATCTCTTTGAAAGTCAACATGGTACCACTCTCCATCATTCACTTTTTTCTGCAAAGCTTTTATTTTAATTGTTCCAGAGCCCATGTCTAAAAGCAGGTAGAGGTGCCCATCAAGCATTTCAATGGCAAAGAAGTCAACTTTAACCATTTGTGGATGTTTGGCATCTTTCTGATGTCGTGGTTTGCCATGGCTGAAGAGAATCAGCCCATTGGGTTCAGTGGTGCGAAAGTCAAAGGATATTGAGCCTGTTTTTTTGGCATTCCATTTAGGCAAAGAAATAAAGGATTCTGGTGTTTCAAAAGTGATTGGATCCAAGGTTGCCACATTTTCACACTTAAATGCCACAACACCATGAATCTTCATCTTAGGATCTCCTTGTTTGGCCAGTCGAGACAATTCCAGTCTTACATCATTGTTTTTATAAACAACCTAGAAGCAAAGCACAGTAATTACTGGAATGGATTAAATTGTATAAATAACTCTGAATATTAATTACACCCTTACATTTTATAAAGTTTCATGTTATCTGGTTAAATAACACATTTTGTAAATTTCACATAAATTACAGCATGTCCCTCTTTCTCTCTGAAGCCAAGTCTTGAACCTGAATTTCATCTATGCCTGGAACTCATTCTGCAGTTTAAACTCTGAAAATTTAATTACAACAAAATTTCCTTCATTTTGTCATTTCTTCAGCTAAAAACAAAGTATCACCGTAATGATATTTTGGTCCATCCAGTTCTCTTTATTAGGTATTGAACTAAAATAATAGCTAAATGCATCTGTGAGGCTGTGGCTTCAGTTCTTTATCCCATCTTTCTACAAAAGATTACAACTTCTTATTTAATACGCAATAACGTGCTGATAGAATAGTAGTAGATTGAATAGTTCCATGGACACAGTATAACATCTATACATACTGTATACATGGCAATTCCTCCTTAGGTACAAGAATTAAGATATAAATACACTCTAGGAAAAAATAGCACAATGATAAAAATAATATCAATTAATGGTTGAATAATTTAAAGATATCCTCTTAATTTCTATATTTAAACTCTCCAGTTTGAATCTGGATTGAATTATTCTAGCCTGGCACCACTCATCTGTAAAATCTTGCTTAGCACCCCAAAATGTTATTTTAGCCAAAATTCAAAACATTCAAAATATTACAGTTTTTCCCCTAGTCCACAGCTAAAAGAAAACTGTTCATCAGAATTTCCAAAGTACAACAGTTCATTCTAAACTTAAATATATATATTTTATGGTTAATATGCACCCCTATAAACAACCATTGATATTAGTAGCTATTGGGGGGGGGGGAGGCTACCACATTTCCTGAATTTCACTATGTTTAGTTTCAATGGATGACTTTCAGTTCTAACACATTGAGAACTTCTTTTGATCCACCTAACAAATACTGCTCATGGTTTTAAATACCTTTATCATGCCTCCCCTTTCTCTCCTACATTCCAGCCTACAAAGCCCTTGATTCCTGTAGTCTTTCCTTTTAGGAGAATTGTCTTGCTTAGTTATTCTGAACATAAATCTCATTACTATGAAAGTGAAGGTTGTGTTTTTCATGGTAAAATGCTTCATTTTACACTTTACGTTTGTTGAAATTGCAGCACTGAGGAAATATGGGAAATCTGATAGTTGACATTCAGGCATATTTCCAAACAACTGAACTGGAGAAGTATGCTTCATAGTAAATATTTCAAGCTGGACTGATATATTTTATAATATGGAAGTCATAGTATGTCTATATCTCTGGATGAGGTAATATTCTTTTTAGAGGGACAAAAATATGCATTTTTGAGTATTGGATCATAGTGGAGGTAATTTCCCTCATAATCACCAAGGAAACTAAAAATATTAGATGAAATATGCATGGCTACAGTAAAATTCACTGGCTGTGGGTTGGCAAAATAATAAGATAAAGTTGATAATGCTATATATTCTCCCTTATTTGTTCAACCTATATGCTGAATATACGTATATTAAGAAAGCTGATTTGGAAGAGAGTATGGTTTTAAAATTAAATGACAAAACACCAAATATCTGTGCTGTGCTGGTGACAATATCCTGATAGCTGAAAATGCAAAAGAGCTTAAAACTCTATTAATAAAAGTCAAGGACTATTGTGAAAAAATGGACTAAAATTAAATATAAAGAAGACCAACTAATAACAACCAGTACAACAACAACCAGCCAAAGAATTGGCAAAGAAGATGTTGAAATGATGGATGAAATGATACTGAATAGCTTCTGCCTTTTAGATCAAACATCATCAGTAAAAAAAACCCAATGAAACAACAACAACAAAAAACAACAACAACAAGCAGTCAAGAGATATCCCACAGACTAGCACTTGGTAGAGCAGCCATAAAGTTCTTGGAAAAGATATTCCAAGCTGTAAAATTGTATACATACATACATACATACATACATACATACATACATACATACATACATACATACATATCTATAAAGATCAGAACATTGCAAGAAATTGTATTCATGGTGACACTCTGTGGAAGGAAAAGTTGGATTTTTGAAAAGCTTGGATAAGAAGAAAATGTATGGTTTTCACCATTGGTGTTGGAAGAGAATATAGTGCATAAACAAGAAAAAAAAAGCATCATTGAACAAGTCTACCCAGAGTTCTCACTGAAAGCATAAATGACCTGGCTCAAATTGTCCTACTTCGGGCACATTATGTGAAAACCTAGCTCCATAGAGAAGGTGCTAATGATGGGAAAGGTGAAAAGAAAGGCAAGAAGAAGATAACCAGTTACAATATAGATGGATTCAGTCACAGTGGCAACGGGAGTAACACTGGAAGTCCTAAAAGTACAGTTTAGGGGCAGAGCATCACAAAGAAAATCTATGTGATCACTAAAAGTTGATACCTCCTTGTTAGCACATAATCAGCATATTCAAGGTATTTTTTATACTATAAAGTAGAACTTTAGGTATGCTCTCCAGAGACTCTACAAAAGTTGTGACTCAATTGTCATTTCAATATGCCCAAAAGAGAAAATAAATAAATATTGGTAGATAAATCATATTCCCTAAACAAGTTCCAGGAACATGCATGGCTTGTTTGAACTTAGGAAGTTTGGGGTAAGTTGAAGCAAGTTCCATCAATGTGAAAACAGATCATCCATATGCAGTAATCTAAAAGAAACTATCAGCTTTATTGCAATTTGAAATACACTGGAGCAGAGTCAAAAATAAATAAAGTGAATTTGACGAAAACCTTATCTGACAAAATACTACTTTAGCTGATCAATTAAATAACATAACAGTTGCTGCTCTTTCACCCATCTAGTTTCATACCCAAGGCAAGTCTAGACCTCATGGTCTCCCAGTTTCTAGCCTGATACCTTAACCACTACACTGAACTGGTTCTTGTGCATTTATTAATGTACCTTAAAATACATTTACTTATATGAGTAACTTATAACACAAAAGGAAGCAGAATATCTAACATATCTCCATTCTTCTGAATTCAGTCACAGATGTTGGAATGAGAACTTTTTATGGGATGTAGGTCTGACTGACATCTTTCAGATGGATTAGATTGAAACTCCTGGTTTTTCTAGTCAGGGTAGACTAAAGTTAAGAAAGCAGGGCTATCTCTATTGTGAAAATAAAAATTGGAAATTGGAAACAAAATTGGAAACAAATTGCATTAAAGAGGCTTTTATATTATGCATTCTATATTCAAAGATTTTGAAAATTTCCATTTATTTTGGTAATAAAGTAATGTTATTACTTTGCTTATTATTTTATATTAATATAACGTTTTAATAATTTTATAATTTACTTCCTCTTAAAGTACCTTAATAGTACTTAAACCACATATGCAGTTTCTTCCTTCCAGAAAGATATGTTTACTTCAGAATATTTAATTGAACTTACTTTCACATAATTATAGATAAGACTTCACATATGGATATTGTAGTAAAATCCTGATTTGCTAAACTAAAATCCATTACATAGAAGGTTTACTGCAGCTAGCTTACTTTTCTTCTTATATCAGAGCATTTGCAAATAGCATTGGTGAAAGGTCATATCACTACTTCTTGTTTATTCATCAAAAGACAATTTCTGTGAATGATACTTAACCCATGAACAGTTTTTAAGATGATGTGCAATTTCAAGATATTCAGGGCATTATCATCAAACATAATAATTTGGTGATCCATAAATATGCTTTGAGAAATTGTGTCTGCTTCTCCCCCTCTCCCAGTTTGTGCATGGCAACTTCTAGTAGAAAACTGCTATATATAAATTTTTTTTTTGAATATATATAAAATTTAATCTTCAAATGATTTGTCTGGCTTTGGCTCTTCATTGTCT